GAACCCAAGATCTCCAGTTTTTAATTTTAAAGAAATAATGAGTTAAAATCCAAAACTGAGTACAAATTCGAGATAAGGAAATAATTTTTACTTCTTTTTTTTATAATTTAAATTAAATAAATAAATAAAAAGATTAAGAGACGCAAATAAATAAAAATTTACAGAAGAAGAAAAAGCGTGCAAAAATTATTACCTTTAATGATATTGTATATATACATCAAAGGGTTAAGGTATTAGATATCAAATGATAATTAACAATTCCGAACCTGGATTTTCCTTGAATGCTTTTGTATCCCCACATATTGGTCCATTGTGTTTTTTTTCATTACTTTTCCTCTTACTTCTACAACTTTTCCCCTCAATTTGTTTTCCCAATCGTTTCACCAATGAGGCTTGAGCGTTAAAGTGTTTGCTTAAATCATCAAATTATGTCTTCGAATCAAACATTAGTATGTGCTTGTAGTGCATAGGACTACACCACCACAACAATCTTAATAATCAGGTGAGAGAGTTAGATTGGTTTGAAGGGTTATGATGCGGTCCTTGTATATCATTTTCCTCATGTCTATTTGTCACGTGTTATTCATGTAATAAGGTTATTGTCAGTGAAGGATAGCGAATTCTTTTTGACTCATTATAGATTTTTTTTTTTTCGAATCAAGCTTAAGACAGTAATTCTTTTATTTGACTAACCAGACAATCATTTTGTGTTATTAATTCACTCATGTAACCATATAAAATATTAAGATGAAAAACGGACTATAGTTTTTTCCATCTCCTCCAGGTCCTTGCCCGACCCGCATACCCTCCGAAAGTCCTCTCACCTCCTCGGCCCCAAAGTCCTCCAGGTATTGACTCCTCTCCGTAATTTCTCTCGTGAATTTTCTGGGTTCTCTTTTGTTGCTGAGAAAATAGATAAACAGAAAGAAAAATTAGGGGCTCATCGATACATAATGTTGATGCCAATGTTGAATACTGTTCTGTGATCAAAACAAAATTAGGGGCTCATCGTATTCTGATGGGTGCTGAAATGGATTGCTGTGATTCAACTGATGATGGAAGGAGGTTTTATGTGGAATTAAAGACAAGCCATGAGGTTGAGATCTGTTTTTCTTCACTTTCCGTTACATGCAAATTTTTTCTTCTCTGAGTTTTTTCTTATGTAACTGACTGTAATTTCTCATTCAATTGTGCAGTTGGACAACCATAAAGATAGAGTACGAGTTTGAGAAAGAAAAGCTCCTCAAATTTTGGGTACATTACTGTTTTTAAAGACAAGCCATGAGGTTGAGATCTGTTTTTCTTCAATAGCTTTTGTTAGAGATTGACATGCATAGTTGTAATTTTTCGTGAGAAACAGCCCCATAATTTGGGTTCTTCTTGAAAGTAATATACTGGTAAAAGTTTTTAATGTAACCATACTTCTATCTTTAGTTTTACATATTGCATCAGGTACTGATGGGCTTGATATATATGTCGAATATTTAATGACACTTATGTATTGCTTAAGAAAAGAACCTTGATTTGTTATTTTTTGGTTGATTGCTTGCATTACATTTTAGGACAATTGGCCCTGCAATGCCATCAACTGAGTTACTTGCAGCAGCAGCCAAATTGACGAAGGCACAGGCTGAGCTAAGGTATTTTATTTGACAGATTATTCAGCTGGCAAATTATTTTGAAACAACTTTGCAATTACTCTAGTCTTGTTTATTTTGAATTACAGTTATAATTTGGGTTACCTGTTGACGTGGTGGTGGATTATAGTATTTTCTCATTGTGACTGCTTGAAATGTTGTGGTTTTTATTACATATGTACAGAGAAGCTGAGTTGGAAGAAGAGATTCTGAATATTTTATAGGACCTCCACCACCTGCCGTGGTTGCTGAAACTGAATCAGCTAATGAAGCTGAGCGGTTTGAAGAGGTATGGTTTGTCTTACCTCGCTGACACTTAAACAAAATTAAATAAGGAGATTGTATATAGCCTTAGGTTGAGTGAGAGTTCATTTTTAAATCATTACATTCATCTCTTCTTAGCCTTCAGTATTGTCCTTTATAGCGTTAATGCTTGTTGTATTAATTCTTACCTGTTTTAACATGGTTGTGAAACTTCTGAGCTTATGCAATTTGTTATGTTGCCTCCTAGGCCGCCTATGCGATGAGCTTGAGCTTGAAGACTTGGAAGGATTTTATTTGTGCAAGACATGACCATGAGTGATGAAACCTTGAAGGTTTATTTGACTTGTGTGATGTTTAAATTTGGACTTTTTGAAGACTTAAACTTTGATGTTTAATTTGGACTTTTTGAAGACTTAAACTTGATTGATGATTGATTCTATTTCTAGTTGAACTTTAAATGTTTATTTTCATTTTTTGAAGACTTTTAGTTTTATGAGACTTTATGTTTTTAGATTAATTAGTAAGTAGTAACTTCCCTCATGAATATTGAAAAACCGTCCTGGAGAGATGGAAACATGTCATATTTTCTATTTCTATCTTATGTTGTGGTTGTTTTGCATTTTTTGGAGGAAAAAAAAAAAAAACCGAAAAAAAACCGAACCCGAACCGAAAAAACCGAACCGAAAAAAAAACCGAACTGAAAAAAACCGAAAAAAATATGGGTCGAACCGAACCGAACCGAAATTTCGGTTTGATTTCGGTTTTGGCAAAAAACCGAACCGAAAAGAACCGAACCCAGCCCTATCTGCAAATACACATAAAGAAGAGGTGGTTATCTCATCCACAACGAGTCACAGGGGCCACTAATTATTATTATTATTTTTTTTTTTAATAAATAATATTATTTATACTAATAAGGAAGGAGAGTGGACTTAATCTTATAATGTGCTAGTAATAATGTGATTCAAATTCGCTTTTGGCGAGAATCAAACCTAAGACCTCTCATTTACACATAAAAAAAATATAATTAGACCGTAGTACTAAATGATCACAAATTATTATTGAACTCACTCGAAACATGATTATTGATAAATAAAAACAAAAACTAAATCTTTAAAAGACACACTGCTCAAAATATTATGACGGAGGTAGACAAATAGAAAATACACAAACAACAAGAGTAGGTGCCTTGTAGTCTTGGTGTGCTAGAGCATTCTCAGTGGGTGTTTTATCCTTCTTAAAGCTTTTATATTTGAAGTATTATGAAATGAACCGAAAAATGAGATTACATCCGTCACATAATTTTGCAATTTTCTTACTTGGGTAGTGAAAATTAGGTCACGTCTAGCGGGCTGGCTTCTCTGCCCTCTCACTTTTCATACACTTTCATCTCCTCCTAGTTTGTGCGGTCACGGTTAAATCACGTCAAAATTTTATATTAATTTTTTTATAAAGATAATAAGATAAAAAATAATAATAATATAAAATATTGATATAACTTAACCGTGACCGTATAAATAGAAGATAATGAGATTGTACGGAAAGAGAGCACAGAAAAGCCAGGTCCCACGTCTAGCAACAAAAATCAGTGAGACAGGCCATATTAAGGGCCCAATCTCTACTTTCCTTGTTTTTTATTTCATAAATGGGACCCGACCTGTGTGTTCTTGGACACTGGCCCTCACCTTCCGAAGAAATTATTAGATGTATCACCACGTGGACGGTGATATTTTCATTTCAAAATCTAACATGTGTATGTTATTTTAATAGCTGGATTTGAAATTCATTTTATCCCTTTCAGAAAATAAAATAAAAAATTGGAAAATAAAGTAAAGAACAACGCCGTCCACCAAAGCTCCGTCAACCATCCCTCCTACCCTCCGCTGCCTCTGGACGCCGCACTCTCCATCTCTTTTCCTTCCTCTCTTATCCTGCTCCCTGGGTCTCCCTGTTTATCTTCCAAAGTGTCCCATTTTATTTTCATTTTGGAAAAACAGAGATGGGAAGGTGTACAGAAAAACATAGATGGGTTTAGGGTTTAGTACAAAAAAGCTTATGGTACTGGCGAAGTATGACTTCTGTTGAGATATGGATACTCATGCCACTCAGATGTTTATTTAATTAACCATACATGGTTGCGGAACTATGTAATAGGATTTGATAAGTGAGATTAATACAATTATGTGACGCCATTAACTCACGTAGCATAATATGAATGAACGATGTGAATGATGCCTTATAAATTTATGATATAGTGTTAATAAGCATACACATTTTCTAAAAATTATCACTAACGTCAATCAAATTGTAAATATTTAAAAAAAAAAAATTAGCAACACTATCTTACGTGCGACAAATGTTCTGGATGTTAGCTAGTTTTGTCCCTAGCCAAGTGCCAAAGATGAGTTGGCATGTGTCATCAACCCAAAGCCAAAAGTTAACATTTCAACATCTCAACGTTTGCTAGAGATGCTTCTCTATGCATTGCCCTTCGCTCTACCTTAAGCTTTTTCAGATGTTATGAGCCCCAAACAGTTGACATTTTTCAGATGTTATGAGCCCCGAACAATTTTGACAACAAATTACACGTAACCTAGCTAAATTAGGATTCAAGGTAATCAAGCAACAAAAGCAAACGAAATTATCGTAAGCCAAGTTTGTTACGTATTTTTTTCCTTTATGTGATATTGACGTACGAGAGATAAAAAAAGTTATATGTACATTCATTCCAACTACTTGATAAGTTATTTTAATGCTAATACATGATTAAATAGATAATAAAAAAGACCAGATAGTGGCTTCACCACGACAATCTATACTTTCATATACAAAGAAGACTGATGAAAGTATATCAGCCTTCGGACTCTGGACGTGGAGTTATTTTTAGGTTTTGATGTGTAATAAAAAGATAAAATTCCTCCAAATAATTAGCATACATCAAGAAAATCCAACATAATTTAGAAGTAAATAGAAATCACAAATAAAATAGATATTTGACCAACTACACGTCACGATCTCATTCGTCCCTTATCTTCTTATTTCCTGTCCTCAATTTCTTTTCCCTTTCCCCACTATAAATACTTCGGCCATAAACTCCCAAGTCCTCCAAGGAAAAAGGAGAGCATCCACCACCTCCCGAAACACCACGAATAAAAGAAAAAAAACAACCATGGCTACCACCAAGCTCCTCCTATCCCTTCTCCTCCTCGTCCAGCTCGCCGCCACAGCCTACTCCATCGGTGTAAACTATGGTACTCTCGCCGACAACCTCCCGCCACCTGCCAAAGTCGCCGACTTCATCAAAACCCAAACCAAGATCGACGCCGTCAAACTCTTCGACGCCAACCCAGACATCATCAAGGCCTTCGCCAACACCAACATCTCCTTGACGATTACCGTCCCCAATGGAGAAATTCCGAGCCTCAAAAACCTACAAACCGCTCGCCGTTGGATCACTGATCATGTCAAGCCGTTTTACCCGGCAAGCAAAATCAAATACATTGCCTTGGGCAACGAGGTCCTCCACTGGGGGGACGACGCTCTCAAGTCGAGCCTAGTTCCTGCCATGGAGACCTTCCACAGTGCTTTGGCCCAAGAGGGGATCAAAGACGTCAAGGTCTCGACCCCTCACTCGCTGGGAATCATGTTGTCTTCTGACCCGCCCAGCACGGGCCGATTCAGACCGGAGGTGATTCCAATTCTGACTCAAATGCTTAAGTTCTGTACCCAGACTAAGTCGCCTTTCATGGTTAACCCGTACCCGTATTTCGGGTGGTCACCCGAAAAAGAGAACTACGCTCTCTTCAGACCCAATCAGGGTGTGCACGATACAGTCACTGGCAAGTTTTACACTAACATGTTCGATGGGTTGATGGACGCGGTTTACTCAGCTGCCAAGGCAATCGGGTTCGGTGATGTGGACATGATTGCGGCCGAGACCGGTTGGCCTTCGGCTTGCGAGTTCCCAGTGTGTTCGGTTCAGAACGCTGTAGACTACAACGGTAACTTGATCAAGCATGTTGAGTCCGGGAAGGGTACGCCTTTGATGCCGAACCGGAAGTTCGAGACTTACATCTTTGCTTTGTTTAATGAGAATCAGAAACCCGGTCCGTCTGCTGAGAAGAACTGGGGGCTATTCAAACCGGACATGACTCCGGTGTACAATGCTGGGGTTATGCGCAATCAACAGGTTGGTTCTTGATTAATCGTCTTTTGATTTTCCATTTTGCTTTTGTTTCTTTATTTAGCCCATCTCATCATTGTTGTCTTAAATACTTAATTGTTAAATGTTGAGCCTAGTAGTGTAGGCTTATAACTAAGTAGAGTATTAAATTGATTGATTGCATGCATGAAATCTAATCAGGTAGTACTATTATCTAGTGATTTTTTTTTTTTCACTTGTAAGTAAAAGATCTTAGGGCCGATTCTCGCCAAAAGCGAATTTAAACTACATTATTAAGGCTAGTCGATTGTGAGGCTCAACTGCGCGTTTACGTATCCGTAATCGGAATGAGAATGTGGAATTGAATTCCGATTACGGAATATTCCGATGTTTACTAAACATGGAGGAATTAAAAAAGCAGTGGGGTCCATACAAATTTTGGAATTCAATTCCTTGTATTGGTGGAATTGGATTCCTTATATATATGTGGTAATTCAATTCCTGATTGTTTGGGTAATCGGAATGACACTTTTGTTCCCTTTATGCCCTTACTTACTTTTTTTATTTCCAAGACTATCCTTTATAAACTCATTAAAGTATATAAAATATTTGATTTGGGACAAGAGCATTTTAGTAATCATACTGGTTTATATTCCGATTCTGCTGAATTAGTAAACAGCTTTATGGAATTCTATTCCGATTCCAGAACATTTAAGTAAACAGCTTCAACAGGAATCCGATTCTAACTTCTCATCATTCCAACTCCTCTTCAATTCAATTCATCCTTAATTCAATTCCTCATATTTTCATTACCGTTACGTAAACGTACCATTAGTGTAGATAGTTCTGTTGTTCAAAAAGTAATTGTTAAATTTAAAATGTCGGGCACATGCACCGTAGGGTAAGCAAAATTTCTAGATTCGGTGTTTTGTTTCTTGTGTTATATTAAATAATGTTGCATGAAACATTTCTGCACCCACTAAAAAAATAATGAAAAATAATATAATTCACAAAAAAATAATAATCGTAAATTCATCCAATTTGTTGAATTAAATTGCTCATCAAATGATGGGCATACTGTCGTAAATCTAACTCACATATATTATATTCTTATTGCTAGAATAATGTTAGTCTTATGTATACTAACTTGTTGCATGATTTAGGGTGGTGCGACCCCTGGACCAACAATGCAAATTCCAACACAACCTTCTAGACCAGCTGGACCAACTACACCAGCTGCTCCCAAAAAGGGGAAAAAAGGAAGGCCTGCCAAACAACCAAAACCATCAAAACCAGCAACGCCGGCAACACCGACAGCAGGAGGCAACAACAACGGCGGCAAGAAGTGGTGCGTGGCAAAACCAGCAGCCAGCAACCAAGCATTGCAATCAAACATTAACTACGTCTGCGGCACCGGCGTTGACTGCAAGTCCATCCAGCCAGGCAGCGCCTGCTTCGATAAAGACATTAGAGCTCGCGCGTCTTATCTCATGAATGCTTATTACCAGGCTAACGGCCGTCACAACTTTAACTGTGATTTCTCTGGGTCCGGACAAATCATTACCACCGACCCAAGCCGCGGCCCTTGTAAATATAACGCTTGAGCTTGAGGAGATGATTTGAGGAACGGAAGATATGGTGTTGACCATTGGTGTTTTTTTTTTTCTTTCTGAGTTTTTAAATTTTTTTGTGGAACGTTGATGACTATGGTTCCTTTGGAAATTAATTTTTTGTGAAATGTTGATGACTATGGTTTTTTTGTTAAGAGCATTTGCTCATGCACTCGAGTAGGGGTGGGTTCAAAAAACCGAAAACGGAAAACCAAATCGAACCGAAACCGAAAAAACCGAATCGACCGAAAAAATCGAACCAAATTGAAAAAATCGAACCGAACCGAATTCTTTTGGTTCGGTTTGGTTTTAGTGATCAAGAAATCTAAACAAATCGAACCGAACCGAATTAATTAAATTAATTTTTTTATTTAATTATTTTTTTTGGGTATTATTTTCTAAACCCAATTTGTAAGTCAAAATGTGCTAAACTCAATGTGTTGCCAAACTTTAAACTCAAAATATTAAAAAAAGGCCTATAAAAACTCTAAACCCTAACCTATTATTTCTCCCCCATATAAGGTTCCGGAACCAAAACTCCTCCTGAAGTACCTGCATCCATCTCCATAGCACTGTCTACTTCTGCCCCAGCTTTCTTTTCCAAATCTATTCTCATATATCATGTAACATAAACCATAAACATTTATTTCGGGTAGATTACTTGCGTAATTTGTGATGGAAAAGAATCCAACACACACTAAATAAATCCACCCACGCCTTACTTTTACTAATCAAGTTGTCGACATGCAGTTACAAGCATACAACCCTGATCTTTGAACAACCTCATAAAATTTAACTTTTCTAAGTCATTTATACGATTTTTGTGTTGTGAGGTTATTAGTTTGGACTTTGGAAGACTTGATTGATGATTTTAGTTCAACTTTATATGTTTATTTTCATTGTCTTTGATTCTAGTTAGAATGCTTATGTTATGATTGTGTTGGAGATGTTAAAATTTAAACTTTCAATGTTTTTCATTTTTTGAAGGAAAAAAAACAACAAAAAACCGAAACCGAACCGAAAAAAATGAACCGAACCGAAATTTCGGTTTGGTTTCGGCTTTGGCAAAAACCCGAACCGATTTGAACCGAACTCACCCCTACACTCGAGGTCCCATGTTTGGATCTCTCTTAGATGAATTCAATATAAATTATCTTATCATTTGTAAAAAATAATAAAGAAAAAATTAATATCCCCGTCTCTAGGTACTAATGTTTATTGACTGAGACTACGTATATAAATCTCATTAAATAATAAGTAAAAAGAGCTATAAATATAACCTTTACTAAATAATAAAAAAACAGTTCAATCTTAAACAACCAAACAAGAAAAAATGCTTCAAAATCTCTAATTTTAAAGTTTCATTTAAATATATAGCATTATTATACAAAAAATTTGAAAAAGAAATCGTTTTTAGGGTGTTATTATTAACAATCTAAATATCTCATTCAGCACTGTAAACTTTTATATTCAGAAGAAAACAAAAATCATATTTATAAAGAGTGCACAATGAAATTTTATGGTGCTAATAAAAGCAATTTTACAAGTAGCCCTTTACCCCAGTGGTGAAAAGTTGTTGAGCTTTTGCAAGACGGCATGGGTTCAAACCCCATCGTAAGTTAATCTAACATCTAATCTAACAAAAATCTATTAGTTGACAAAACACAAAAAATAAATAAATAAAAGCAATTTTAAATATATATCATATTAATATTAGGGTTAATCTCAGTTTATTATCCTCAATTTTCTTGGTTTTCAACATTTATTACATCAAGTTTTTTTCATCCCAGAGTGGTACCTGAAGTCAAAATTTTGGAACAGTTTCATACATCCGTTATGATTGCTGTTAAGTCAGCTGTTAACTGATGACATGGTGCCCATGTAGACAATGATTGTGCGCCACGTGGATATTAAAAATTTATAAAAATTATAAATTATAAAAATTAAAAAAAAAATTAGAAATTAAAAATACCAAAAATATATAAAAAATCTTCTTCTCTCCCCTTTTGATCTCCACCATCAATATCCCCTTTACCAGGACTCAAGGTCGAGTCCCTCCAGTTCGAGGAAGAAATTTATCGACTCATGACCATGCCGCCAGAGAACGTTACCCTTAGGCCATCTTCAACCGAGGGCTGGCCAGAGGCTCGTTTTAGCCCTCTAGCCCTCCAAGATATTAATATTTTAATGAACAGTACAGGGCCATATTTGCCTCCGTCTCCAACCGAGGGCCAAAGCGTCATAGGGCTCGTTTTAGCCCTATTACAAAAAAACCGTCTCCAATCGAGGCCAAATGGTCATAGGCCCAAACATAATTTATTATTTAAAAACTACCACTTAAATTCAAATCCAACGGCTAAGTGATGTCAACTCGCCGTTGGATTTGAATTTTTTTTTTTGCTATAAATAGGGTGGATATTGGGCTATAATTCACACAACTTTGAATTCAATCTATTTCAATTCAAGTTTGCAATGAATTCAAACTTTGGATCCTTTTTGGATTCCAACTGAGGGTCCTCATCTATTTCCAAATTGGAAGAAAAATGGGTGCAAATGAGATGAGAAGATGAGGAGTCTAATGAAAAAGTTCAAGTAAGGCGCAACAAACAAAACAGAACAGCAGCCATGGCTGCGACAATGGTGTGTCAGCTAACTGAGGAACAACCTCAATGAGGTGGCTTTGTTGCTTGTCCCTCTTACAAACCACAAAACAGAACGATGATGCATGCCAATCTGATGAACAACTACTTCAACCCCAACTCGGTGTACAAAGAAAAGGATTTCAGACATCGCTTCCGGATGAGGCGTCATGTCTTCGAGCGTTTACTTTGTGATGTCCAGTAGGTTAATCCATACTTTGGACAAAAGTAGGACAGAGCAGGCCGTCTTGGTTTCTCACCTCATCAGAAGGTTACTGTTGCACTCCGAATGATGGCCTATGGCTCCCTAACCGATTTGATGGATGAAACCCATGGTATGTCTAAGTCTACATGCCTTGATATTATTGAACAATTCTATGACACAATTGTTTAGGTTTGCAAAGACAAGTACTTCCGCGAGCCAAATCAAGAAGATCTTAATCGGCTCTTTCGCAAAGCTGAAGACCGTGGGTTTCTAGGCAAGATATGGTCATTAGATTGCATGCATTGGGATTGGAAGAACTGTCCTACCGGATGGCAATGAGGCTTTAGCGGAAGGTTGAGAAAGCCAACTGTTGTGTTAAAGGCGGTTGCCTCATATGACACATGGATCTGGCATGCTTTCTTTGGAGTCCCTAGATCCCAAAATGACATTACAGCTCTTGGGCGTTCATCCCTCTTCAATCGCTTGACGGAAGGTAAAACACCTCAACTTGACTACTACATCAACGACTGTCAATATAATATGGGGTATTACTTGACAGATGGCATCTACCCAAAGTGGGCGACACTTGTCCAAGCAATTCCAAACCTTAGGAATGACGTGGAAAAGTTGTTTACCTTACACTAAGACGCATACCAGAAAGATGTTGAGAGAGTTTTTGGTATTCTACAAACTTGGTGAAAGATCATCAGCGAACCGGTAAGAGGGTGGAGTCGAGAAAATTTGGACTCCATCATGATGTCTTGCATCATATTACACAATATGATAGTGGATGATGAGTGATATAGAGCAAAAAATAATCACAAGGCGACACATAGATTTTTGGATAAAAAAGGACAAGAATAAGGCATATCGGGATTCCTACGCTCGAGTAGCGAAGAATTATCTTTCAACCAAGTCAAAAGAGCCTAAAATAAGTAACAATTCAAAGCCTATTTCATCCAACCACATCAAATCCTTTCTACAAGGTAATTCCCAAACACATTCCTTTTAAATTATGTTAATTGGCTAATTAATGGGTTTATTAACACGCCCCGATCCTAGAATCAAGGCGTGTTGGCCGTCACGTGAGTGTGACGTAACCAAAAGTGTGATGCGGAAGCAAAGGATATGAGAAATCGAAGGAATAAAAAACCAACTACTAGCAGTAATATCCAACTAGCATGCTAAAGTGAGTTTAAGTGTGCAGTACACAATTTCATAGCATAAAAACTAGGTGTAGTCAAGTAGGACTATAATTAAATTACAACACCCGCAGGTAAGTCCTACATGCAGGAAGTCTGTCAAAATGCCAAAGAAAACCTCGTGAGCCACCAACTGCTAACTGGAACCTGGAGGGGCGCAAAAACAAAATTGAGTGGGTCAGTAAAACCAAAGTTTTCCAAAACATTTCATTTAAAACATTTCTAACCCCTCACTGTAAAACCTGTATACTTTCCCAAAAAATAACATAATAGTATATAAAACCTCATACGTCACAAATCACCAATCTATCACAAATCCAGGAATATGCCATGCCATAAATGTCAATAACAAAACATGGATGCATCAAAATAACAGGTGACATAATGAATCAACCGGAGACCCTGCAGTTGGTCCTGTACGGTTAATTCCATAGCTCAATATCCAACCCAGCTGGAGTCACCACGGTGACCTATACGGCACTACTCTGCACATAAGTCGGAACTACCTGAAGTAGTCTGTACGACAAGAATGGTGTAATGATACGCTCTAGTGCTTCTCTCATCAATCATCTACGCGCATAATCTAAGGTCACCTACTAGTCGGAACCACCTCTAGTGATCTGTACGACTGACATGTCGGAACCCTCTCATGGTCTACGACATGCACCTACTTGGATCCAAGGTGAGCGTGCGGTGCGGTGAATAATATAAGCACTAACACCAGGGGTGCAGGTTATGAGCTCTCAACACAATTCACATCATCAATGATTCACATGAGTAACATAAAACTCACCTGATACTCACCTGTGCGTCCACAACACCAATTCACATATATATATATATATATATGCATCAATATCAATTCATATAATTCATAATATGCATGCATGGCATTTGAAAACATACTTTCATATAAATTCAATTTCTGGGAAAATCAATAATATATATGTATATACTAAAAACAAAACTGCCTACTCACTAGTAAGTCGATGGGTCGTAACCCCCGTGACGTCCCTGGATGCGCTCGTCCTCGGGATAGGTGTCACCTATATGCGAAACAACTATAAAAACATTAATTTAAGCACATAACCGACAATTCAAAATAACTT